GCTCAAGGAGCAATCAGGGTTCCCTGCCCTGTGGGAAGTCCAAGGACCACCCACCTCCATCCAGGTCTAGTAAGGTGAGCATCCAAACTGCCTAGGCTCCCACAAAACCAATAGGTGCAGTAGGATCAAAAACCCATTGCCATTGTTCTTGAGGAACTGATACATCTGACCCGGAATCTAAAATACCATCAAACCCTTTTCTCTCTATAGTTATTTTAAGTTGGAGCCATTCATTTAACTGTGTAACCCAAAAAGAGGAATTACCACAACCTCCTGTTGGACAGATGTCATAAATATAAGCTCCTCTTGATAGTCTGCATCTACTATTCCAGGATGTATTTGGATCCTATTTAAAAGGGTACTGCTTCTGCCTAATAAAAGTCCCATGGTACCTGGTGGTAAGGACCCATATACTCCTGTAGGGAGTGCTCGCACTCCCGTTTGTGGAGTTAAGACTGCTCTGGCAGAGGCACAGAGGTCCAATCCTGAGCTCCCTGGTGTGGCTCTGACAAGGTCTGCAATTCGAAAGAATTTCTCTGCGGAAAGAACTGGACATGGCCTCTGCTGGGGTACCGTCTCTGCGATCCCGCAGTAATTGCTTCATACACTGAGGTTTTGGGGCCCTGGAGCAGAGCCTTCTGTCAATTTCCCTGCTGTGGATTAATCGCACGTGGCAGAGGTTTCCCATCTATATATGTTTTAGGGAAACAATCTTTAGCCCAATGTGCTCCCCTTCTGCATCTAGGGCACATGCCAGGTTTCCTCCTTCCATTCATTATCAGCTGTGAGCATTCCTTTCGAGAATGACCAGGAGTTCCGCAATTAAAACAATTACAGCCTCCGGCCCTCTCTCCCAGTCCTCTTATGTTTCTCCGAGGTTGAATAGCTGCTGCTATAACCTGGCCTTGAGTGAAATTCCCATCTATATCTCTGCATATCCTGATAGATTCATTTAAATTCTTTGTTTTGTGAGGGCGTAATGCTTCCTTACAATATCTATTGGAAATTTCAAATACGTTGTTTTATCATAGGCATGGCTGTTTTCTCATCTCCAAACAATCTACCTGCTACTTGTTAACAGTCTATCTACATAATCTTGGAATGGTTCAGATGGTCCTTGTAGAACTTTTGATAATTGATCCCCAGCTGCTTTGTTAGGCAGGGCCTTCCACGCTTTAGTGGCAGCTGCAGCTATTTGGGCGAATACTCCTGGATCATAAAGAATTTGTTGCTGCAAATAGCCCCCGTTAACATATCTAAATTATGTTGAGCTTGACCCGCTAGAGCATTTAACTGGGCCGTTTGCTTACAATTTTCCTGATATTCCCCTTGCCATAGGAGATAATCTCCCCCAGATAAGACAGCACAACATAATTGCTGCCAATCACTTGGTGTTAAATTCATAGCAGAGAAAGATTCTACCATGGCCAACGTGAAGGGTGCTTGAGCCCCATATACAGCTACAGCTTCCTTTAATTGTTTTATTTCTTTAAATTTTATTGCAAAATGTTGGTGAATTATTTGCCCTGGGTTATTGGTGTCTGGCACCTCCATCACAACCATACCATGTGTACAGGACGAAAACAAACTCCCTTGTTTTGTTCAGTGCCAGAGCCTCTACTCAAATAAGACCACCAGCCTTCTTTATTATAAGCCGGTGGGGCCGAGGGAGTTGGATATGAATCTTTTTTACTCTACGTTTTTTTTTTCAGCTTTCTAAAGAGATTTTTAAATTCCTTACGTATAATCTCCTCTTCTTCTGATGAATCCTCCTCACTATCCTCCACTAGTTCTAAATCATCAAACTCTTCCCTATTGTCTGACTCTTTTCTGAATCAAGAAAAGATACTTTCCATCTTTACTCCTCAATATGTCTCCGTTGGCCAGGAATGACGCTGTCTGCTTACCTCTCTTGCAGACCAAGGGCAGTTTCTCAGCGTTCCCTTTTCTGATATCTCTGTGGGGACCTACAATTGCCGCGCACCACGGCCCGTCTGCACTCTATACACTAGATCTCATTTCGCAAGCTCCGCGCAAGGGGCTAAATTGAGAACACAGACGCAGAGACAGACCGACAGGCAGACATTCTAACCCTTCTAACACAGGTACCAAAAGCCCCTCTTTATTAAAACCATGTAGACTTAAATACACTGCAGTCAATGGTCAACAGGTGATAATCCCAGCCTCTGATCCTCTAACTAGGCACAGCTTCTAGCAACTTATATTAGAAGGTTCTAGGAGGGAAAAGCATCTGAAGGCCAGGACTCATTAATCCCAACAGGAAGTAGAAAAAGACAAAATCACCCGAGAAAATTCATTTGTCTTGTTGAATTTCTTATTATTAAATTTACAGTGTACTAAATGGAAGAACCAACTTATGAATGAATATGTAGACTGAAGAAAAATTTGCCATTATAACTGCTTTCAGGAAGCTCACTACTAGTTCCAGGACAGACGTTTCATAACATCCCAGGATAAGAAGTGTGAAGAACCACAATATAAAGGGAGGCGTTAAGTCCTTGATTCTGATCCTTCATTCTTTTCCAGAAACATGAGCCTACATTCCCATGATCAAAACTACAACAAATAAACTCTCCACCTCCATGGTGTTCTGCATATTTATAGGGAATAAAAGCTGGATCCATGTGACTATGGAAAAGTGCGATTTCTTGGATGAGAAGGGTAGGAGGTGGGCTTTCTGGTCCTTGCTTCACTCAGAAGCATAGTGAATGCAACACCTAAAGTTATGCTAACCCACATGCCGTGTAACTGACCTTTTTACACCTAACTATTCAATGTTTATGTTGTATTAAAAAACTTTATTATCTTTAATAATACTTAAGTATTATTATTGTGCATGTGTGTCTGTGTGAATAAGATGTATGAGTATGGACATACTAGTGTCAAACACACACGTAGAGTTCAGAGGACAACTTTTGGAAGCATTTTTTGTTCTACTGTTATGGCCAAGAATTAACTTAGTTAAGTAGGCTTGCTTGTCAAGTGCCATTAGTCGCCAAGCTATCAAATAATCAGTATTATGGACTTAACCCATTTCAGATTTTTGGAACTACATTCACCTCATCTACTCATTGTACCTATGTATTTGCATGTTTGTTTCCAATTCACACATATTTTGCACACTCATATAAGTGGGGCTTCTGGATTGTTTTAAATTGATGGAATAGCTTAATAAAATGATCATTTTCTCCTCTGAGCTTTCTCAGATATGTTTTCTCTAAAGATTTTGACAGAAATTTCACAGTAAGCTATGGGAAGCTACACATGCCACGACTATTGGTAACAAATGAATTCCAATATAAAAGCCCCCAGTGGAAAGGTTTCACACATTAAACTTACATTACTGATTTATAAGCTTTTCTTCCCAACTTACAAATGCTTTGTCAAACCTTAGTAAGCCTCCCTTGTTCTTCCTGTTCTTATAAAGTAAAATAACAGATTCTTTAAAAACCTGGGTTAGAGAGATGGCTCAGCATTTGGGAGCATGTGTAAGTACTCAGAGATGACCCATTATTGTTTTCAAGCATCTATACTGTCCAAAGCACCTGCCACTCCACCTTCAGGGAATCTATCACCCTTTTCTGGTTTAGGCAGTCAAATTCATAAACACATAAACATAGACTTATATGTGCATGTACTTTCAATATACATACATAGATATAAACACATATGTTGTCTAAGTAAAACTTGAAAAGAAGAAAGGAAAAGAATGTACTATAACAGCTGATATGTTTGAGAAGAAAGTTAAAATATTTTTAGTGTTCACCATTTTATTCATATGCCATAACATTTTTAAATGTGTGTGTGCATGATTGTGAGTATGATATTAACTTATTTATAGCAATTATTGTACATATTTATTTATAGCAGGTTCTTCAGAGGGCTCATAAAGGAACCAATATATAATTACTTGAAAAATTAATATCAATAATTAGTATGATCTATAGAGATGTAATTTATATATAAAGTATGGATTAATGCATCATATAGAATGGAATGTATACCACCTATAGTATTATAACATATATGAATAGTTATGTATTATATTTAAAATAAAAAATCAAGAGTGCCATTTCATTCCCAAAAAATATCTTTAAAGTTCTCTTATTTTGGGCACATCCTCTAAATTTTCTGACAGGCATGGCAGTGTAGTTTCTGACCAAAGCCACTCCTATATGCACATTAAATGCACGTGTCTGAGCAGGTGCTAGTCTCTTATGGAGTCCTGAGTCACCGATATGCAGCCTGATTGTGACAATCATGTGCAGGTGGACACAGTCTCCTGTGAACTGCAGTTAGAGCTTCAGAAAGGCATAAGTCAAGCTGGGAGGGAGAGAGGGAGAGTGCTAGTGACTAGGAAGAAAGAACAAAATCAAAGTGAATTCAGGCCAGCTTGCCCCAGGACAAACCTGCCTGAGAGTCTTGGAGGGCACTGGAGATAAACGATGTGCAATTATTCTTCAGCTGGAAAGGCTCTGAGGCAGGGCAGAGTATCAGTGGCCTCAGGAGGACAGGGACTCTCTGACATATGTCTACATCTTATCAGAGGCCTGGCTGAGGGCACGGTCTGCAGGTCAATAAAGGAATGGATAACAAGAAGAGCCACATCTTGGCAGCTGCTGCTGACAGGGAGCTGGGGAAGCCTGTGTGGCTGCAGTTTCCCTGGCCAAAATTAGTTCCCTGCCTATTTGCACAGCTCTTAAAGGGACATGTTCTAAACACAATATTGTAAAATTATTTCCTATTTGCCTATTTCTTACTTGTTAGTGTACAATTAACATAAATGGCAATTACTGAATCTCAAAATAAATATAGACAGAAATATGCAGACAAAACCATGCTAATTTCTACCACTATAACACCATCAATGATCAAACAATGAAAACTGTTGAGCACAGTTTTTGGAATGGGATTGACCATGGGGAATGTGGAAAGATGGCACGACTGACTTGGGACTAAGTTGAGCATAGAATCACAGGGCTTCAACTCAGATTTGGCCCATTTAGATCCCAACTGCTATAGGCAATGTTTTCCTCTATAATATATGCATGTCTCTATATCTGCTAATTTGACTTAGAATGTTTTCTTCTTATTGTTCTTTACCAATCAGCATCTATATTACCCTGATCCTTATGTGAGAAGCAGAAGGTGCCATGATCAAGGGCAGAGGACATAGGTTTCCAAAGGTGCCCAGCAAGTAATGAAGTTAATACATCGAGGTGTGCTCATTGTTCCTGCGCATGACTTACTGGAGAAAGAACCTCCCCCATCTAGTACCTGAACCTGAGCCAGAAAATGTCCATGGGAGACCTGGAAGAGAAATCTCTGACATCATCCATGGACGTCAGACCCTGATACCACAGGGTGGTAGGCAGTTACCCGTTTTCCTCCTCAAGAACATAGAGGCAGTTTAAATACAGTGCTTTATTTTAAAATGTAGATGTGTGGATCCAAAACAAATGATCTTCAAGTGCTGCTTTGCAAAATGTTTAATGTCCCCACCTCAAATTCCCAATATGCGAATGATGGAGACACACACACACACGCAATTTGTTTTGAGGGAAAACAAA